CCAATCACCATTCAGTATGGTGTATGGAATGGATGCCCTCCTGCCAGTAGAAATCTCACTAAGTTCGCACAGGTCGACATTTTTTGAACAGGAAAAGAACGAGGAACTGGCCAAAGAAACCCTCGATTTGATTGAAGAAGGACGAGAAGAGTCATGGCTGCGAATAGTTGAATACAAGCAAAAGATGCGCGCAGCATTCGACAAGAAAGTCCGAACCAGACGATTCCAAGTAGGGGATCTCGTCCTCAAGCATGCAGACGCCCTCAAACATGTCGGAAAGCTAGAGGCCAACTGGGAAGGGCCTTACACAGTCACAAAAGTTCTCGAGAGAGGAGCATACGAGCTAGAGGACGGGAAAGGTCGCCAATTGCCTCGATCTTGGCATGTGATCCATCTTAAACGCTTTTACGCTTAAAGGCTGAGTCTCAAGCTTCTTTTTGTACTGAAAAACGTTCGAATTAAATTCAGTAATGAAATTAATGTTATGTTTGATGATTGGATTGTCTTTTTACATTTTACAACGATTATCCGCATACTTAAGCTTTCTTAAAGAAATACAACAGGTTGGGAAGACGACTACAAAGTCAATTTAAAACAACTTCAAAGTTGTATGCCTCGAGCGAAATCTCGGCAAGGCTACGAAGCCTACGACTACAAAGTCGATTTAAAACAACTTCAAAGTTGTATGCCTCGAGCGAAATCTCGGCAAGGCTACAAAGCCTACGACTACAAAGTCGATTTAAAACAAAGTTGTATGCCTCGAGCGAAATCTCGACAAGGCTACAAAGCCTACGACTACAAAGTCGATTTAAAACAACTTCAAAGTTGTATGCCTCGAGCGAAATCTCGGCAAGGCTACAAGGCCTACGACTACAAAGTCGATTTAAAACAACTTCAAAGTTGTATGCCTCGAGCAAAATCTCGGCAGAACTACGAAGCCTACGACTACAAAGTCGACTCAAATAACTGCAAATTGTCATTTTAACTGAAAAGTGTCAACGCATAAGATGTCGATAAACTTACTACTGCGAAGTTATGAGTGAAACCTCGATGAATTCATGATTAAAACCAATTTAAATTATAAAGTCGCGAGTATAGGACAACTCAAGCAAAAGAAGACGAAAGATAATATTCAAGATAAGTTCATTACAAAAATCATCTCGACCTTTACAATCTAAGAATTAGGTCGAGACAAAAACAAATAGTAAAAACAAACGACAGAAAAGAAAAATTACAGGGAACAAAAGGCGACAGGCCTGGGGACACGATTCTAAGAGTCGGCATCTCCGTCGCTCTCATCAATAGTGTTCATTATTCGACCCTCAAAATTCGACCTGCTCGGCTGAATCGGAGAAGTGGAGGGAGCCTCGAGCCGGGAGGAAAGCTTGGCAGCTTGAATGGCTTTAGCTTCCAGGCCAATCCACCACTGGTAATCGCCCGGGAGGGAGGGATCACCCTCATAACCTTCAGGATTGAGAAGTGCTAGCCGCATCGCTTCACGATCGAGCCTTTCCGCAAACTCAGACCCCGCAACCACCGCCTCCCAGGCATCAAAAGTATGATCAAAATATTGAATGGCGGCGGGACAGAGTCTGTCGAG